AATTAGGGAAGGCTGGCAGTCGGAGCACTTGATCTTGTAAACTGCTCCCTGTCTGTTGTTAGGTTTGTCCCTGTCTTTCACGTTGGTCAGTAGGTGTCGCAACGTAGTTTTAGGTTTGTGGGCTACACGGATGTTGTAGGGCTGTAGGATCAGTGAGATGGTCTCAGAAGTACCCTTACCTTAATGTAAGGTATAGTCACTGTAGTAACAGGCATTGGGTTCCTGTTCGTTGCATCAGTTTCAGTGGGTCGGTAAATGTTTCGTATAATAAAGTCAGCGTTGTTGTTGCGGCTTACTAAACAGTCTAGAAAAGGAAGTTTTCTATTTCCTCGATATCTTTTGTAAACTGGATGTTGGCATTCTGTTTGTTTAGGTGGTCGTGAAAATCGTTAACTTCATCCTCTTTAGTAAACTGGATGTCGGCGTTCTGTTCGTTTAGGTGGTCATGAAAATTGTCAATTTCGTTCTCTTTAGTAAACTAGATGTCGGTGTTCTGTTCGTTTAGGTGGTCGTGAAAATCATCAATTTTGTCCCAATAACTCTATTGCCTTGAGAACTTTGCTGACTCTTAACACAATTTGCACCACACAATGACACCTTTTTTCCTTATGATGTAAACAAAAGCTTACTTATTTCCACTGCATGTTTTTCAGGAGTAATTGTGACCCTACGATCAGAGAAGAATTGCGTACTCACTACCAGTTACCATATTTCTTGCCAAGCCAATCAGAGACCAGCGAACAGGACTGGATCTTTATGGGAGGACCGGGACCTGGAGCTCAGATACATGTATGTATATGACATCTGTTAAAATTTCCAGAGCCATGGTGTAAGGGCGTTAAGTGTTTGTGGGCTAAGGCTGATCCTTGCCTTAAATGATCTTCCTAGTATGCAAACATAACATTGTGCTGAATACATAATAATTTTATTTAGATTGATAGTGTAGACCGTCCATCATGGCAGGCGCAGCTGTCAGGCCAAAAGACCTGGACTCTGATCCCTCCCCCAGAGTGTGAACAAGTCTGTCAGCCCATATTCACAACAACAATGAACAAGGGAGAAGTCAGTAAGTCAGCTAAAGTTTTTGTTTTTTGTTTAAATTATGTACCTTTTTCCTGGGAAGGAACACAATGATGTAGAGGGATGTTACTTTATAATTGGAAGATTAAATTCAAATATTTAATTGTTACATGAAAAAAGTGAGTGCAAAACAAATTTCCATTAAATTAAATAAGCCCTGGCCTACCTCCAATGTTAAGCCTCTCCTTCAAATATGCTTGGAATACCAGTGCTGTAATTTGTTTTGTAGTCACATACAGGATAACTGAAGTAGTAAACATTAATGGCCAGAGACGGATTTGTTATTAGTCAAGATTAGTGAGTTCTAGTGTGAAATAGGTAACAAGTAATTTACTGTAGGCAGGGAAATTGCGGGCTCATTGTGACAGGACTGGATATAATAGGCCCTTGAAGGAGGGGGGTGGGGGGCAGGGGGTTGATAGAGGATATACTCTATGTTAAGCTGGCCATGATTAATTATCAGTGGAAAAACAAGTTTAAAATAGGTGATAGAACCCCTCCAAAAAAATTCAAGCCAATAAAAGAAGACGAAGAAGAACCATGCGTAACTCAGGGCAGTGCCATTCTTTAGATTCGCCTTTTTATTGTTGTTAATTGGCTTAATATGTTTTTAACTTGCAGTTGTTGTGGACACAAATCAGTGGTATCATTCAACACAGGTTTTGCCAGGAGATCTCAGCATTACCATTGGGGCAGAATATGACTAGAAAAAGAAACAACAGTCCCTAAATTATGCATGTTTTCACCAGCATTCCCCTGAGGTCTAAGAACCCTCAGGCCAACCATCAATATTTGGAGGGGGTGCAGAGGATCTTTGCCCCGGGATAGGAGACAGTTCAAGACTTCCTTTGTTATAAGTTTTAGAGATTTTAAAAGGGGAAATCACAAGATTGTAATTGAGGATAATTTAAGGAGGATTGTAATTGAAGGGAAGCATAAACCAGGTGACTTTGCTTTTAAGATTTTGCCATTACTGGGAAGATATCTTCCTTTGCTTTGCTTTTTTATGACCTCAGGGGAAGCTGGTGACACATGCTTATGATAAACGAAAAGTAAAGGTGTTAATCCATTATGCACCTGAAAACTCAACTTTTTGTGCAATGTCTTGACCAGTTACAAGAAACTTAATTGTTTCACTGTTCTTTCCCAGATATATAATCTGAACATGTCCAGATTTTTGATAGTATCAACCTATTTTCCCCATCAGAATGCTTTTGTTGAGGAAAAGGTTATTGTCATTCAGAATGCTTTTATTAATAATCCATTTTACAGTATTTTGAGGTATTAATAATCTGTTTTATTATATGGCTAGCTCCATGAGCGGGCAAGATGAATCAAATCCTGCACTGTGATTGGCTACCTGAGTGGGCAAGATGGAGCCATCTTGCCCGCTTGGGACTACCCGTCATGTCCTGCTTGAAAAATTTCTCAGAAAGCCATATAATAAATCCTTTATTGACCAAGCTTGGTCCGTCAAGATGGCTGGATACTGGCCTCATTCTTTCTCTGTGAGTTTATGGACCTCGACTCCGTCTCGGTCCAGCCATCTTGACCTCATATGTACTATTGCTTCATTGTACAGTTCCAGAAAATATCCATACTCACCCACAGAAGGGATTGGAATTTCCTGGGGGATGGGGTTTCTGGAAGGCCAAGAAATTTAAAGAAATGTATGAAGCTTAATTGGAATCNGGGGGGGGGGGGGGTTGTCTTAGAAAAAATCCCTTCCATTGGGGAGGTATTGATATTTTCTGGAACTACACATTTATAATATACATGCATGGTTGAAGGCAACAAGAAAACAGAAACAGGCATTCATAAAATTTACTCATTGGTAACACTTTCAGTAAAACATCACTCAGCTGGGCTCCTGCATTCACTCATTAAATTACATAAACATATTGAGTTTTGGCAATATCTATAGCTAAGTAGATGTAAAAAAATAACTTAGGTAAAAAGTGATAGAACAAATTATTAATTAGTAATATATATTATTATATCATCATCATCATCATTATCATCATCATTATCATTATCATTTTCATTATCATTATTATTATTAGTGTTTACATTTGACTTGAAGATGTCTGTGATCTTTCAGTTTCATTATTCCAAATAACCTATTTTCCAAACTGGAATGATTTGCTGGGCTAATAAGACTTTTTGCCACTAATTTTCGGTAAACGTTTTACTTACTTGGCATACACCCATAGTTCAGTGAAACAAAAAAACCCAGAAGCATAGATTGTATTATATATAATTTACCCAGTCATAAAATTTTCAGTTATACTAGAACTTAAACAAAGAAGTGTAAAATAGAGGTAAAAAAATGATACTACAAAAAGACCAGATATCTCCAGGAGTGCACGCTTATTATATGCATTCTCTTTGTGATAAGCATCACAAAGTGTCCTAATTTGTAAAAATGCCACCAAAACACACATAATAATGTCAAGTATGACTATGAAAGTGACACTTTGTGATGCATCTCATAAGGAGCATGCATCTTATTTAGCATTCAATCCTGGACATAAGTGAAATAAACAAGATAAAGAAGTGTATTAAATTTCAAGACGTTTGTTGCCTTTCAGGGCCGTAGCCAGAAACTAATTATGACTGAGGCAAAGTCCATGAAAAAATTATGACTGATGCAGTGTCCATGGTTAGATTTCCTTCTTAGATATTTAGGGTATTAATTATGACAATAAACAAAAAACGAAAAAAAAAAAAAAAATGACGGAGGAATGTGCATTAGTTTCCTTCTTCCTAGAAGACTTCGAGAAGTCCCTCTTTCACTTAGTCTGTCGAACAAGACCGTAAATAAACCGTAAAGAAAAAATGGCTGCGTGAAATCCTGCAGACGAGACATGTGCTTCTAGAACCCCAGGATTTCGCATAGCTATTTCTTTCTAGTGGTTTTCTTTCGCGTCATGCACGAAGGGCAAAGCAAAAGAGGAACAGTACTACTCATAGTCTATTTTACTAGCTACGGCCCTGCCTTTGACTTGAGTTTGAACAGTTGTGCAGCATGTGAAATAATGATTTTGTTTGTTTTGATTTGGGTGCTCCTTTATTTTTATTGTGGAAGTTTTTCACTTGACATTTATGGCTGTCATACAAAAATGCAGTTCCCAAAGGGAAAATCATGTGGCCATCTTAAATCATAAAGTTTGACAGACCTGTTTTTATCTTTTCCAAGCAACAAAGTGTTTTTTTTTTTTAATGCAGACATTTCCTGTAACATTGCATTAGCAATATCTGCCATGTCTACAAAACTGAATACAATAAAAGCAGCTGGTATGCCATATACTTAACAAATAGATTATGAGCTCAAGATTTCTATCTTGTGATAGTTGACAAGTGCACAGCCTGAATCAACTATCATGCATAGAAATCGAGAGTGACTAATCTAATTGTTTTGGGAAAAATCAATTAGGAGTTAAGAGACAGAGGAACAAGAGGTGAATCAGCAGGGTGTGACCTCTCCCCCCCTGCACCTCCTGCCCTACAATTTTGCGTGCATTCGTGTACATTTCTGCCCTTAATGTGACCTTGGACTTCCTGTGAACAAATAATTTATGTCATCCAGATTATTTCGGTACATGTTTCCAGCAGTCAGCATAAGACACAAGCCCAAACTCCTGTGATGGCTGGAAGAACTTTGTAGACCTCCACCATTCATCTAAGTTGTACTTCTCTAACAATTCATAGAAATTTTTCCAAAAGATTAATGACATATGATCAACAGTTACAATTGGTCCCTTAAAATCCTTGGCTTCTATTCTGCTTGGCCTGCAAGCTGCAGACCATGGTTTAGGTGGCCTGCAGCATGCATAATGGAATGAGTTCAGGGGCCTAAAAATAATGCGTCTGATGTTGTATGCATAAGGAAGTGCCTTCCAGTTACCAGCGTCCGCATAATAATGCCAGAGCAAAACTTGATCACTGGGACAAGTGTCTTTTTTTGTGGTTTTCCACCAATTTTTCATGATCTCCTGGTAAGAGCTGGTGTCTGGTCTAACAACCAGAAGTCCTGCATTGAAGCATGGTTCCAACACACCCGGTCTGGAGCATGGAACAGCGGCAAAATCATCTGGAATGTCAAAAAGTTCATCCATGTTTGTCATCAACATGTAGTCTGCATCAAGGTAAATGATTTTTGAATATTCTGTATAGTTCCAAGCATGGAATCGTGTGTGTGTCCCTCTTATTCTGTGTCCAAGTGGCTTTCCAAACCACCCACTGTTGCGGTCTCCACCAATTTTGGCATCTAACCAATCACAGTCCATTTCTTCAACCACTCGAGTTTCCCAACCAACACTCTGAAGGGCTTTTCGCGTTCCCTCGCTCACCTTTTCCGAAACAAACGTGATCATGTTCTTCTGGCATGAAAATGTACGGATAGAGTGACCGAGAACCAACGTAGGGGCGGCGAAATCTTCATTCACCATGACGGTCAGCCATGTGACGTCACTTCTTGGCTTCGCGGTCTCTTTGCACCAGTCTTGGCCAAATCGCTTTTCAATTTGATACATTCTCCATTCCTTGTTGGCCAACTGCATTTGATTATCCTGAAACCTCTGCCTATCGATCATAAATTCAGAAATAACCATCTTTGCGTATCTAAAGAAATATGGAAGCAAGAGCGGTCTCCAAACAACGAGAAATATCACCACAATTAAGGATGGAATGAAGGCTATTGCACAGATCGTTCGACGAGATCCTTTCTGTCTTGTTCGTGAGGACTCCTTCATTCTACTCCGTTTGCTTTTTCTTCTTCACTTGAAACAATGTTCGCTGAAAACTCGAGACATGCAAAGAACTGGAATCCCTTTCGGAAAACGGAAAATGGCCGCCGAGACAACGTCGCTGAGAATTCCTGGGTACGAGTAGGACACGAGAAAAAATATAGGCACGCAAGGCGTGCAAGGGTTATTTTCTGAAAACAGAACAAGTTTGTTTAGTAGCAATGTACAGAAAAAAAAAACTGATTTAGAATTCGTGACGTGCCTACAGTCTTAAACTGGTAGTAGAGGTATGCCTCGCATTATTGGCTGGCACGGGATAAAAGGAATCTTAAATATACCTATTGAAAGAGGGATTGAGGAGCTGGAAACTAATACTGCATTTCATTGTAAATTACATAAAATAGTTTATCAGTTTTTTTGAGGATTTCTTCCACCAAGCTGATTTTTGGGCGAATTTTTTAAGCTTTTAGGGATTTAAACGTTTTGAATGGGGAGATTTAAAAAATGGCGGTTCTTCAGGGGTTTTTTGGTTAGAACTGCAATGGAACTGTTCACAGCAAGACAACTAAATGCCATGAACAGTGGCAGATGTAGGGGAGGGGCCCAGGGGGCCTGGCCGCCCCTCTCATTTGGGGGAGAAAAGAAGAAGGAAAGCCGGCAGGGCAAGCAAAACAAGCCCCCCTTCCCCTTAGCTCATGGTCTGTATCCACCACTGATGAAGTCTGCAGTAACAGAGAAATTTTTTAACATCATCATGCATTAGAATGGCCCTATTCTGCCGCCTGGGGTCCACCATTGGTCGCAGTTTCTTGAGTTTTGATTACAAAATTACTTCCAATTTACCATGATAAATTTTTAGATTTATCTCGCATGGGTCCTGAAATCAAACAGATGACTGAAAGACTAATCTAATTACTTTCAGTTTAATTTTTGCCAGTATACGCCACAAAGTCTGCAGCAATATCTGTGTTGAAAAATTTCCAAACTCTAGCTCCTTTTCTCTAAGTTTTCTAACGTGCAGATGAGGACGGTCATGTGCTTTTTAAAGTATGGTGTCCCCCTGATAAAATAGACCATATTGGTATTCTTGGTTTAGGACTGGAACTAGCTTGCAACTGAAGATAATGTGGGGAATCAAATGGAAATGATATTTTAAATCTCTTTTCAATGATATTCCCCACGAGCCTCCATTGCAAGTTAGCTCCAGTCCAATACCAAGAATACAAATATGGTCTATTCACCATTTAATGTTAGAAATGCTCCAGAATCGCCTACCATAAGATACTATCTCCAGCAATCTCTTGGCAATAGCTCTGGATCTGTACCTAAGATTGTTCCCCACACCCTTTAACTCAATTTAAATTTCCACTCTATTTTTTGGACTTATTTTGTCTGCTTATGTGTTGCAATGTAATGAGTTATTTGTTCTTCTTGAACATGACAGGACTATGGTGTAAGGGCTATCACTTTTTCGAATTTTATTTTAATTCCTGTTTGTAACATTTTTGGACTTAACAATCTTTTCAATATAATATGGGGCATTAGCACTATTCTCACAGCCCCACTGCAGGGATTTTGTGTGGACCAGCTGGCCCCACATGGTGGGGCTTTTGCCACCTTATGAAAAGAAAATGTCAAATACCGGTCCAATGCCTGGGGAGGGGGGAATGGGAGGGCTTGGAATTGACAGAGCCAAAAGTAAGTAAGTTATAACTTTATTTTACAAGAGTAGCCCAGTTTTATTGCTATAATCTCCCATGTGTGTCAGTGTGACCATGGCAATCATAGATATCACTTGGCAACAATATTGGATGGACAGTAGTCACTGCACTAACCAATTAACAGTTTACTAAAGAATATTTTAAATTGTGTAACTCTCTCTACCCTAGTCCAAGGGGATTTTTTTCTCTTGATCACATTGGAGCCATGCCCTGGTGGAAATGAGGAAATTTAAAATCTCTGAAACCTGGGTAAAATGTACGACAAACTTAATTTTTCAGCCTACCATCTTACCAACTCTCTTTTTTTTTTTCAAATTTTAATCTTGTGAACCATTCAGAAGGCTGTTAAAACATTTTTCTGGTATCCTCACCTAAGATCACAGGGAAAAGCCTGCAGTTTTTGTTCTAACTGGACCTTCATTCAAAATCATGAGCCACTGGTAGCACAATAATTACATCTATCAATAATGACTGTAAAAATAACTGAATAAAATATTTATCCAGCCAAGCCTAGATGCACATTAGGTGCACATATTCAGCCATGTTTTGATAGGCTGTCTCTGAAATGATAAATCCAGGACCAGGAGTCTATAACTTTGGGCTTCTGTTGTAAACCATTAATTATTTTATATTCCCAGGCTGGGGTAGAAAGAGAGGCAGAGTGTGTGTCTTGCCAAGAACAAACCAAAAAGACCCCACAGCTAGGAGTCAAACTGTAATGTCTCCATCCATAGTCCTGCATATTTATCATAAGGACACTGCACTACCTCTCATCCAATAAATGACTGCATTATTTTAGCAGCCACAAAAAAAGAAAAAACAGCAAATGGGCGAATCTTTGCAGGTGTCATTGTTTACATATTGCCTCCTTTGACTCCAAACATCGTAAGAGCTTATGAAACTGACTTATTGAAAAATCGGAGTAATAGAATTTTCTTCTCTTTGGATGTACTGTTGAAGAAGTATTGGCTTCCAGACACTGCAAAATTTCTGGTTGGTAAAAGCCTTAATGAGCCCATCAATCCTTTATAAAAACTAACTAGAAGTTTCTTTTTTGTGAGGGAGAGGGGGCAGTTCATCATACCATGCCCTTTCAAAACTCAAGAGTTGATATTTTTGTAGCTTGATCAGGCTGAAGGCAAATACTGTAAACAACGATTCCCCTACAATACCAGGCAAATGCATCTAGAATAATTTAGAGCTTAGCTTCTTGAACCAAAAACAAAATTACAATCCATAACTTGATTTGTCGCATCAATAATGTTTTCTCAGTTCTACTTTCATACAAAATCATCTCAGTGATTAAATAAGGACGTACATGTAACATAACTTAAACATTCCTTCAATATATCATCATTTGGATCACGACGTGAGAATTGTCAGGAAATACTTTCTCCTCTTAATAACTAATCACTGTATAGGAACGTAGCATAAACCCATGACTATGCTATTGGCAGGTAAAATCTAAAGCCTAATCTCATTTTTGGTTAACCTCTGTTGAGCTTGCTTGACTTGAGCTTTAAACCTTGTGAAAAGCATAAAACAATCTAATGTAAATCCAATAATACGTCTAAAAAATCTTTCTGGAGAAGCAGAACACAAAGTTCACTATCATCTGAATTCATAAATGGGTTGACTGTGATCAGGAACATGGACAAGATTTAATGACTGGAACCTAGGAGAGAAAAATAATGACTGTTACTAAAAGGTTGCAAAATAACCTAACTAGTGAAAGTTTGGCCAACTATCAACATGTTGATGTCAAGTAAAGTTGTTCCAAAAACTCTGTGAATTATTGATACCTTAGAATTGGTTGCTATCTTTTTCAGTTAAGTAAAATAATGCTTCACTAGGTTTCATATGATTATTATTTTATTAATATTTATGACTAGACCTGATGTAAAACATGCTGTGATAGGCTAATAGTCTGGGCCAGATTTTTCTGTAATACATATACAGGCATTATGCGTTAATGCCCATGTAATACACTTGTTGTTTGCTAAGTTTCATGCAAGGAAATACATGGAACATGATATATCTGAACTGCAGGAGAAACATTTAAAGACATGACAGATCATCACAGTTACAAGTGTACATAACTTCTGCAGATGTAAGGAAAAGGCCTTAAACCATCCACTTGGTTGAAACAGGATTTGAACCCATGACTCTCACTAATTTGGCACCATACTGGGAGAATATTGCCCTTGGTCTTTATGATATATCAGGCAATATTTTAAAACAGATTGAAGCAATAAATATTTCTTTTCGTCTTTTTTTTGTCTTTCATTTATTTACACAAGTGCCCCTGGCTTATGCTTTACTAGAAGCACAGACTAACAGAAGTGAAACAAAATAAACAAGAGCTAACCATTCTGAGCTTCGGTGATAGTAGTAACCTTCAATGGTAGCAGCTGATTTCTGTAGACATACGTAATAGAAGCCTGCAAATGATGCCCCAGTTATATCTGTGATGGTGTGATCTGGAACTAAGAAGTGTTCCTGTAAATTCAAGACATTAGGAAACTACAGTGAGCAAAATTGACTTGTATTATTAACTGTAGTGAGCCTACATCACAAAGCAAACTTACAAGAAAACAGGAAGTACATTTGAAAACTAGTTCTACCTTCCATCTCATGAAAACAAAGTCTAGGTTGTCCAGTTGGTTGTAATCAAAACTATCTGAGTTGAATGTTTTTGCAAACTGGTAAAATGCCAGAAATTTGCCCTGTAACAAAAACAAGCAAATTAAAAGTTTATCAGCCACATCAGAAAATAGGAACAAAATTACTCCACATTAAAACCACTATCTCAATAAAATAATTCTAACTATCAATGCAATAGTGGAGTATCATACACTCAAGTATAACGAAAGACCCAATAGAAAATGTACAGACAAGGATGAGAGCCATGCTCATATTACTCTAAAGGCTATTTTCTCTTTGCAAACAAAAACTCACATCTACATGTTTGGCTGATTTTCGCAGAGTAATTCTCGTTTTCTTAGATTTCAAGCGACAGAGACACAGTAACATGGAAACTGATAACCTTCATATACCTTTAGCCAAATCTTGATTTAGTTTATTTGGTTCTGTGAATGAAAATCTTAAGAAGGATGCTACTGGCAGTACTTTCAAGGGATACACAATTTCAATTTCAGCTGTACAAGGTGATTCTTAAATCCTTACTGTTACCATTTAATAAATAATGAAAATCATATATTAGTAATTATGTGGTTCTAACAAAACAACAGCAAAATAGAATTTGGAGGAAAATTGCAATAGTGGAATGGTCTCTGCTATTCACCCACACTGTGATAATTAATAAAAAGTTATTATGAAAACGTAAATTACCCAGTGTTTTCTGTCAACATCTTCATCAGCATCCTGGAGATAAATCAAAGATAGTTGAACTTCAGAGTGGCACTGAACAAAATTACCTTTATATTTTAATATTCACTTCTGGCAATAACATGTACAATGGAGTCCTGACTTTTGAACCACCTTGGGGAATGGGAATTGATTCAAAATGTATGGTGGTGGCTTGAAAAATCAAAGGTACATGTAAATTTCTCCTACCCTTTTTGGACAGGGAGCAAAAAAACTGCTTCACTTTCAAATTCAAGGGTTTGAAAAATCAGAACTCCACTGTACAAATTTAATATGAAATGTAAGAAGATTGCAGATGAAGTAATACTTCTTTCTAAATTAAAGACATGAACTTAGATAGGGATGACTTAATTCTGTTTCATGTGAGATTGTCTTATTGCTAGATGGATTTGGCTAATATGTTTTACATCTTTGTTGTCACCCAATAGATCATTTTCATGTGACCTCATCAAATTCCAAAATCCAAAACTAAAGAGCCACCAAATTTTTTATCCTCATAAAGCATAAGGGGATCTAAATTTATATCTGTCTACAACTTTTCAGCTTAATAGCGTGCTTGGTTTGGAAACCAGCGCCGTTTGAAGTTCAGAGTTATGGCGGTGCGTGACATACCGCTTCAATTGCATTCGTGGAAAAAATATACACGTATCTGCTGATTTTTAGCCTTTTTAAGAGTTAGGAAAAGTGCTTTTGTAAATGGTTGTTGTTTCAGTTCAGATAATCAGTCGCCTAGATAGCCAAAGTAAGTTCCAGATGTTTGGACTATTTTCCACCCGCCATGTTGGTGGAGCACAGATCTCCACCAACATGGCAGCTCCATACTGGGCTCTGTAAATTTGCGCAAAACATTTCGACGAATATCTGAAGTTTGGGAAAACGCAGAGACCCAAAACTTGGAGAAGTGTCTTCTATACCCGTCTCCTATAATAATAAAATTTCTTGACTTTATCCTCTGAACAGTTTTCAATTTAGTTTTTCACTGCGTGACAGTGAAAACCACCTATTCAGACCATGTGATGATTCATCTGGGAGGTTACAACTGCGCAATCTGTCACGCACAACTGATTGCATGGGACTTTGTACAAACAGGACAATTTAAACCACCCAAATGAATCATCACATGATCTGAACTGGGTGGCAACAAGGATGTGAGGGTCAGCATGTTAGCCGAATCTGTCTACCACAAGGGTAGGGGTTGTGCACCTGAGATCCTCACATGATATCAATTACCAAGTCATATACATTCGTGGTTTCAAACGCTGTCTCTAAACAGCAGTCTCTGTTTGAAGAGAATATCTGGCAAGTACACCACATCACCTAATATATTTGAATTTTTTATACCAGCTCAAATTAGTTGGAGCTTGAGGTTAATTTGAATTCGCTACAGAATTGCATTTTAGGAAAGAGACACAGAATATTCACCAGAGAACAGCTAAATGCCATGCTATCCTGACCAATAGAAATTACATAAGTCAGGAATGTAAAATAATTGCTTACAGGTATAAATGACACTACAAGACTTAGTTAAGTCCTTACCCATTTTCTTGTCAAAAAGGGATGTTTTTCTCCAATAATTTCGCCATCAAAAAATGTCGTAAGATTAGGATATTCCTGTAAACAACACAAAAGTATATTATAAATTTATATCATATCTGGGGAAGCCTCCCTAGAGGCTTGTCTCTTCAGTGCTCAAATCAGTGTCAGTCGTCTACTTCATGAAACAAGCCCTTTATTCCCTAAATTAATGAGAACCCCGAATTTTTAAAACTTGATGTTACACGAACACTTGTAGGGAAATGTAGTTAGATGCAAAACTTATACAAGAATCAGTTAACAAAATTATAGCAAGTAGCAATATGTGACTGAGGTTTTTCTAGTGCAACTGAGTGAAATAAAGGTTTGGAACTTTAACTACAATGTTCTGCTGCTACAAAAATGAACTTCAAGCAGCCTTATCAAATAGTTGAAAATATAGAAACATGACAGTGTGGCCTTCACACTAAACACAACACACTTTTGGGTTAATCCACAATAAACAAGCACCCTATCTAGATGAAGAACTTCACTTTGGAAACCAAGTTAAACTTAGGTAGAGTGAGATAATTTGGCCCACTTTTTAACTTGTTCCAATTGCCCTAAATCATCTGTGACTATTCCAAGCATGAACGCATGTCCTGGTTGTTCAATGGATAGCTTACACCATCCTCCAGATACATATAAACCACTATCCACTAGAGTAGACCGAGAATCTAAGGCTGAGTGGAGGTTCCTTCTTCAATTTTAATATTAGTAAAATGATAGCCTTGCTCGATACAACAAGCAAAACTATTCAGCTTGAGTAATGTGTGGATGCACAGATTTTTCAATCTTAATTAAGGGCCTAAGCCTCTCACATTTCGCTTAATGTCACATCTGAGTCCTAAGTAACAAGCTAAAAGAAGATGGCACCAAGATTTGGGGCCTCACAGTGCTACATTATACATTCTTTGGGAATCTTCAGCAATGTTCGGAAGTTGTCCTAACGTCTTTGGTAACGTTTAGAAGTGTTCAGTTTTTTCAGAAATTCGGGAATAATGGATACGAAAATCGTATACATTTGATTTAGGAAAAACTGACAGTTATTATACATTACTGCTTTGAACTACAGACTAGTTCCTTGATCAAAATAACATCGATCAAAACAATTTCACATTCATTCATAAACAGCATTAATATATGAATACATATAAATTTCTAATCATGTTTCTAGATAAATCCATGTTAACACATAAAAGTAGACGGTCAGACTGTATATAGAAGTCTACACAGCTATTCAGAACTGAACTTTCTAGTTTATTCTTCCTGAGAAAACAATGGGTCTTACATCAGAGGTAAAACACCTGATCGTAAATATTAGAAATATCGTATAAACGATGAACTGGGAGCGTTGCCAAGATAGGAGGGCATAAACGAAAACAACTGCACGAAAGCCTTGGCAAACAAATCTAAGTTTTCCTTTCAACTGTCAATCGAGGGCAGCGGAGCAGACAGACATCTGTACAATACAAAGACACAAAGCACGAAAAAAATCAACTTACATCTGTTAGACCCTTTATTTTCAAATATCCACACAGAAACCCCTTTTCTTGATCTACGTGCTAAAAGGAAAGCATGGAATATTCATTAGACTTCCTTGAAAAATTTCAAGACCAGAATCATCCAATGACACTACGGCGGGAATTTCTTAGAGTTGCGACACGACTCACGCGAACTTACCTTCAACACAACTTCGACGTCGTAACGATTTCCCTTACTTTTTTGGTGCCCCTGAAATCTGCTTCCACTGTACAACAAAGACTGTGCCAAACCAGGCTGTTTCGTGCCCGGAGGAAGGGGATTCAGGGCAATTTTCCCCGGCATTTCGGCAGAACTTTTTACAACTGTACGGTGGTCTTTTGAACTTGCCAACGCCACTCCCTCGAGGCAGTGTGGGTAATTATTTTAATTACGTAGTGCTAGAGCTCAGTCTTCCTCGACTGCGAAATTTTGGTAGCCCGTTCAGGGGTTCAGGGATCGTTCAGGAGAATGTGATCGAAAACAAACAAAACCACACAGGCTTTGCTCTCGAAAAATTGTAAATATTATTACAGTTTTTTGCGAGATTATTGTAATTTTATAATTTTATGAGGTGATCTGTTTTTATATGGGGTCACGCAACTCTTTTACAAATTATCCTTATGGCTAGCCTTATTTATCTATTTATTTATTTTTGTTATGTAAATCTGCCAATAAATTGCAATAAATAAATAAATAAATAATAAATAAATAATAAATAAATAAATAAATAAATAAATAAATAAATTGTTCAGGGGTAGGCTCGATTACCAGCCGCTGTTCGGGAAAGGAGCCCGCCCTTCTCCCCCGAAGGCAGGGAACGTATACCGGACACGAGAGAACGGTGGTGGAGGGGGGTGGGGAGGGGCTACTCTACAAAAATAGCCATTTCAACGGACGTTTGGGATCTATTAGAATGCTGCAGCCCTTTTCTAAACCCTTGGAATGAAATAAATGAACTCATCAAGAATTACCAAAAGACTGATGTTAACCAAAATAAGCAAGTATCCTATATTTAGTTCCCGTTCACGTTATACCCAAGTGACAGATTTACCTTTACTTGTGACGTCCCTACCATTTTATATACCTGAAGCCTGAAAAAGGTACCCCTTTCGGTCGGAGCCTTCCCGTATAGGCCGTTGTAGGGAGCACCCCCCGGGACAGGCTCCTAGCGAGGGCGAAAACATGCGGCGAGCAAGGCGAGCCGACGAGCGCAAGTAAAATTTGGACCGCTCTCAGCTCGCAACCCTCGCCCTGTACCACACTCGGCTAGCTCAACCTCCATAACCCAATCAGGAGCCTGTTCACACGCTAGTCTTTTGAGCTGGGTTATCTATACCCTCTCTCCATGCTAACAATCGTTAGTTTTTCATGACCCGTCATTATATTAACCCCTGTATTGTTTAGTTTCTTTGAAAATTCCTTGTTAGACGAGGGGAACCCTACGAACTTTCTTTAATGCACCTTATTTCCTTCGAATTACCAGTCAGTTCTTTTACATGTAAAATTCCTTCAGTTTGTACAACGAATCTCGAATATTTTTTTTCCCACATGGGCGAGTGCACAATATAAATACCATCCATCAGCTGACTTTCAGGTGTTCAGTTAGCTCGGGAGCAGCGCCATGACCAACCCTCGTTTGTGCATGTGTCGACAGAATCTTGAGAAGAGAATTTCAATACCGAGAAACGCAAATAAAATCTGGCTTGAAATCTTTCCGGGTAATAGGTGTGTATGTTCGCTTATAAAGCCAGCAGAACAGGCTAACTCACGTGAAGCACAAGATCGACTAAAATAAATTAAATGTTGAAAACAGTAGAAATATGTCACCTCTTTTGTCGTGACCTAAAAGCGACCGATCAGAAAAAAAAACCGTTGGGCCAGACGGACGGTTGCAGCAACATATGTAAACAGCGGTAAATTTTCAAGCGATTATCTTTTGGTGCTGCTTTCTCGCACTCCACACTCGCCTTCGCGTTCACATATAGCGCCGTGAACCGTCTGTTCCCTCTGCGATCACCCGTCTTTTATCTTAATAACAATAACAATAACATTTATTATTTGTATTGCACCTTTTCTATAAAATATTCAAAAGCGCATCACAACAGTAATTAATAACTAAAATTTTACAAATCTTTCTATCAAAATCATAAAAAATATTTACATTAAATGGGTAAAAGATAATTACAAATAAAGATATAGATATGCTAAGATAACTGAAATGATTCCTTAAATAAAAATGTCTT